ATATTTAATGTATATTCAAGGAAATATACATCTATGAAAGTGTATCCATCATTTTGATTAACCCTGTAGATAGAAAGATATGTTGACAAATGAATAGTTAGATAGACAGGTGGATCAATGGATGGATGGATTTCCTGTGTAAGTTCCAGGATTTTATTTACATATCCATCCATTCATTTATCTATCTGTCTATCTATTCATTCATCCCCAAACAGATAATACTTTTAGGTTCACATTTGCTGTAAAGTATATGATGGCTAGGGCAAGACAGGAACACTGAACAAATTCATGAATGTGTGTGATGGTGAACCTCGACCTCATTTGTTGACTGGCATGGAGGTGAGTGATGACAGAAATGAGCTAAAACTTTCAACCTTGATCCATCCATTGTCTCTGCAAAGCAAAACTCGAATCACTTGAGCATATACTAGAGAATTGCCCTCTACAGCACAGCCTAACAGAAAAAAACATGTCCAGAGGACTATTAGCCACCGGACACTGGGGTCCATACTGAGAGGAGGATCTGAGCACACATGGACATGTCCGGCATGCAGTGATGATAACTAACATGGCCAGTGGGAAGAGGCATCAAGAACAAACTTTAGGGGGGTGCTATATTAATATCCTACCCAAACAGGGGAAATCCACAGGTCACAGGACAGTCTAATATTTCAGGGGGTGGTTGATAGACTGCATGCAGTAGTGGGACCTAGGCTGCCCTCTCTCATGGGACATAGGTGGGTTGGGGTAAAGGCTAGTTTTAGATGTTTTGGGGTCGTTAAAGGCATCAGAAAGCCGGGAAACCCAGTCTTACCACCCTCTAAAATGTTGGACTGTCCTGTGAGATCATCTGGGGTAATATAAATAGAAAGAACCCTTTGGGGAACCCTTGAAGACTTGCTGCTGGCATGCCGGTTCAGAGGCAAGAGATCTGATAACCTGAGTATATGAAACCAGCTGCAAAGAAGAAGAACCAAATGTATCACCTGCACTGCCTTAAGCTTGTGGGTAAATACTTGACAGAAACTACCCGTGTCAGTCTGTATTTCTCCTTACACATTTATTAAAACACTAACTAATCATTCATGAAATAGCTGATGTAAATATGTTCACAGTTGACCCCATGTATATATATGTATATACCTCATCCTGTAAATTATTCGTAAATTGTGTGTCTGTGAGAATTCTTGATGATGTCATGTCATCATCATAAACCACTTCTACCATTAAGCATCATGGGTAGGAATAATTTGCAATCCAGTGCATGCTCACTGCCACTGGCTTCTGTCATGCTGTGAAGGTCTTTAATGTTGCGATCCATGTTTTTCGTGGCCGTCCTCTTGCTCTTGTAGCTGATCTTTTGAGATGTAGTGCCTGTGATGGTATTTGATCTTGCTGCATTCTAATGGGATGGCTAAACCCCTTTATTTGCTGTTTCTCAATGAATCAAGTTCAAGGTGTTGTTTCCACAGTTTATCTAACGGTATCATTAATTTAATGACTCAATCTTGGATGGTTAGGTTGGCGGCTTTTCACAAGTGGTGATTTTGCATACATGGGCTTTGGATAATACCCATGTTTGGCATTGGTAACATAATGTTGGAATGAATATGCTGTTTATAATCTGTCTCTTAGCACTCAAAGTTTACATGTCTTTATAATGGTGACATCTGGTATAAAGCGCACTTGCTTTGTGACATCTGGTTTCTATTTCTCTGTCAACTCTGCCATCTTCTGTAATCACACTTCCTAGATATTTGAATTCTCTAACCAGATTCAGACCAGAACCATTCAGATGTATGTGTAGTGGGCCAGGGGTTCTACTTGCTAGCATTGTTTCTGTTTTGTTTGCATTGATCTCCATGTTGTATTTACTGCGTGCTGAGTTTAACCTGTTAATGTGGTTTAGCAGCCTCTCTTCTTCAGGGTAGAACAAGCACTGGCCATCAGCAAATAGAAGTTTATTTATTGTAGGTGAATTGATTACTTCATCTGATGGGCGCTCTTCCTCATGATTATAACTATGTTGTCTGTATTAGAATTTGCTCCTTTAGATATTCTGTCCATAAATGTTGAATAAAATGATGTCATGTAGTGCATAAAAATGTCCATCACTGACTGTATCTGCTATCATGTGTATGTTCAGTAAATGAACACATGTAAATACGACACTGCTTTATGGATTGACAATAAAATGTAAAACATCAGCCTGGGTGTTTGTTCTATGGCTCTGCTTTCTGATATTATATTTGTTAGTTATAAGCTTCACCAAATTCTTCACTGTTCTCATGGCTTTCAGACCGTGTTACGAGAGTTGCACCGTGGAAGCAACTGGGACCTTAGTATGTAATTTGCCATGGTTATAATTTTATTTGTCCGTAATTTGCAGCCAACCTCCATTGTGGAAACAGCACAACTTCTAAAATAAAAATTTCCCATGCTGTTCTGTTATTGCTACGGTAATTCTGGGATCTACAAGAGACACCAAAGTGGTATGTATGCAATATATGCTTGCACTGCCTATTATTGCAGATAGGCTCAAAGTTCTGCAAGCAAAGCCATGTCTCAGAATAGCTGCGGACAAAAGGCACCTCCTGCATGAAGCCCTGGGTAGAGCTAAGGTCTGAAAAGAGGAGTTTGTTGAATGGCGCAAGCTCAAGGCACAATTAGATATGCATGCTGGCTTGCTAAATTTGAGCGGGGAGAGGAGTGGGTCAAACAAAGTGCCGGAGCAAGAATCTGACTAGTGTAGGGTTCTTATCACTTTAGGTCATGAGTGCAGGGACTGGCCAGCTGGTGCTGCAGAATCACAAGTTCATAAAATGTTTCATAACAATTCCTGCCCAAGTGATGTGATAACCTCTAAAGATGACTCTGTGTTGAGAGGCAGAAGAAGTGCATAGGGGTTATAACAAAAATGAATGGACGTCGCTTAGTGCAACAAAGCCAGGCATATGCTATCACAACGTCTAGTTTGAGAATGGCGGTGAGAATCAGCTGTACACACATGCCGTGATTGTAACTGACCCAGTATATGTTGAGACAGGCATGCTCCATGCAGAGAGGCATGCGTTGCTTCAGAAGTCCCCGGTATTTAGCATCCTTTGGATATTTTCTCTAGGTCATGCTGGTGTGTTGGGAAATGAGCCGGCGTATAGACTGGCCGGCTCTGCGCCACTTGGTGGTGAATTGATGAATGACAAGCTAGATGTTGCGGGGACCCTTTGCCAGCGTGTGAAAAGTGCAGAGGCACTTACTGATCATTATAAACTTAAAAGAATTGAGCTGTGGGGAGTTACTAGGGGATCTGGCCAATGCTCAACACTCAAGGGAAAGGTCAGACAGATATACAATCAGACAGTTATTGGTACCATCGGAATTGGAACTCTTCGCTTGCTGCTGAAGATGGGGAGGGAGCGCTTGTAGGAGTGTTCCAAGTCTTATGATGTTGTTTCTTAAATTAACATTCTGTCTTTGCTGTCAGTTGTTATATGTGTTACAAATGTGATATATTCCTTAATACCAGTCAACTGAGTACAAGTGCACTGATTATCCTGTACATTGTACATGTTTTTTAACTTCTTCTATCCAATCCTTCTTCTACATGAGTTTACTATGTGCTAGCTGTTCTTTTCTTCTTCTTTTTAAAGTCAATGCAGTGTGGCACTGGTAGTCATGTCTATCCACAACGTTCTGTCTCATTGGTACTTTCAATCAACTCTCATACGGATGATCCTCCATGCAATGTCAATCTGTCCAGCATTTTATCTCTCAGTCTTCCTCTGCCACTCTTTCCCCACAACTTTCTTACGGTCACGATGTACTCCATTTTCTCCTCACGACATGACAAAAGAATGTAAGTTGCCCCCAACTGACAAAGAAAGATTGGATTCATCTTCTATCTGATATTATCAGGGTTCTAAAATACTTAAACATATCAACTTGCTTGAGGACTGTCCCATTTGCTTTGATGTTGCATTTCCAAGGGTCAGTTTTCTTTGTAATTACCGTAAATATTTCAATTAGTGATTTCAAGCATGAAACATGGAATATGTATTGTTTCACATTTTATTTAGAACCTGACAATGAGAACAGGACAATTCTTGAAAAGCTCCAGTATTAAGTTTTTACTGAGACTGCACTGGTCGGCCAATATTATCTTAACATGGAAGCATTGGAAAGGGGGACTGGAGGGGGTTGAGTTGAGTCAAGAACTGACATCACAGCATTCGGTGCATTCCCATGTGTGCCCCGTCCTCATCCTCAGCAGCCAGCCCAGAGTTCCAATACTAACGGTACCGGTTGTAATTTGGTCATATGTCCGTCTTGCCTTTCCCCTAAGCGCAGTGAGCTGGCTAGACCCCTCGGTTACACCCAGATGCCTCATTCTCTCCAGGCCATAATAATCTTGTTTCGCTTCTGACTCTGTTGCTTGTTTCCAAAGGGCTCAGACCACATCTGCCTTGCCATATATCAATTCACCACCCAGTGGTACAAATCCAGCCAATCCGATTGCTGGTTCATTCCTCACCCCGCCAGCAGGGCCTGGAGAAAAGTGGAGGGGGTTCTGTTCCACAAACATGAGCTATATTAAGACACAAATCTGCATATGTTCATAGAACATTTATTAAGCATACCACCAAAAACAAACAAAAATACTCTTGCTATACACAGAACAAAAGAGAAACACACTAAAGTCCATTCTCACTCATTCTAAACTGAAGTGAAAATATAAAAGCCAATGTTCCATGCAATCAAAATGGATAAGACCAGACTCCCCATCAAGCCCTCATAAGGACACCAGAAGGGACAAGAAAAAGAGGAAGACCAAAAGAGACCTGGTGTAGCCGGTATATTTCACTTTATTTTTTAGAAAAATTATATATGTTTTTGTGTCCTTAGAATACATATATTCTTCTGCGTATCCACATCTCCCAGGAGTTAATGAAGCAAACAAACATATACTAAATACAAACTTAAATAACACACTCTAGCTGTGGTTATCTTTTGCCACCACCCTTCTTTTGGCCAACTTTGGAACTCTTGGTTACTATCTCAGGGGCTTCATTCTTCTTTGGGTCCTTCTCATCAACAAACTCATATATGTAGTCTAGAATCTCCAAGTGGGATAGATTGGAAGTCTCAAACACCAACTTGTGGCCGTCATCTGCAAACACAACCATGGAAATATTAGTTAAAGACTTTTTCAGTATATCAGCACTATTCACTGCTCGTCCGTTTCCCATGTGAGCATCACTTGCATGTCTGTCAGCTCATTCCCTGCCCTTTACACCAGAATACCCGGAACAAATATGAAGCTGATTTTTGTCAGCCTAGATCTATTCTGAGACTTCACTCATTGTCTTTGCATGCAACCCTTCTTGACCTTCTCAAGCATATTCAGTGAGTCGCTGAGAAAGCATTCCCGGGTGAAACTCTTGTGTTTCTAGCCAGGCTATTGCTTTGGTTGCTGCCAGGACCTCCGCAGTCAAACTGTTTGTCATCAATGCGAGGGCACTGCAGAATTTCTTTCCATTGATTTTTGTGTGTGCCAGAACCTAGGTAGCTACTACTGGCTCCGTGCCTCTCAGGCAGATACACACTGACTTAGAAGTAAACACCAATAATTAGTTACTTTTTATGACATACCTGTTAGAGTGGGTCTATTCTTTCCCCCCAAATGGGAACCCACACTAGGACCAATGGTCTAAAAGTAAAGCGCTAGCACCATACTCTCTATGATCCCTGGCATGAATAGGGGTCCAAACTTTAACACTGCAGTAGAGCCCTTATGTGTTCAAATGTTTCATCACAAATGAAAGTTAGAGATCTTTTTGGTTTGGTTTGGTTTATACAGTGAATCAACATGATGGCACAAGGGTAGTGACCCATAAGTGCTCCGTTCTACTTCTAACTCAAGCCTGAGTCTGAAGAATCTCGCACGCAGTGCACGAACTCTGTAGCACCTTCAAGGATCCTGAAATATTGGATAGATTTTTAACTCCACATTTTGGACCGGCAGTGCCATTAGGCTACTCTTTTGGATTTCCAACTGCCAAGGGATTTTTTTACGTGCGCAGCAATACACAAGGGCACCTGATCTCACTACTCAGAGACTTGGGGAAATTAAATGAAGACCCCGTGAAAAAAATCCCAGCTTTCACCGGGTCCTGAACCCTGCACCTCCAGCACTCGAGACGAACTCATGCCTTGAGACCACTCTTTGGTTTTCTAAAAGATAAAGTTTCCACTTTATACAACAATCTGCTGGTCCCACGTTGATTACAATGCAAGTTTTCATGGTGTTTTTTCCATTTAGGTTTGCTCGTTAATTATTGTTGCTTATCTGTCAAGTTACTTCACTCTTCTGTGTACCTTCTCTTGCGGCGAATGAGATCTTTGGGATGTGTCCTTATGTGACAATGCAGGTTCCTCTTCATGGTTACTTTCCTATGGATTTCAGCAGGTCTGCAGTAAGTTACTGCCAAGCAATTTTTACCAATTGACCTACAAAGATGATGACATTGAAATGTTTAACTACATAAGACAATCCCAATCAATACAAAAAAGGTCTTACAAAAAGCATATTTAATGCGCTGCCACACCAAACAAAGCAAACACAAAAACAGGAGAAGGACACAGAGTCCGTGGTAGACCAAGAACAAGATGGTCGGATAACATCTGAGAAACTGTCTGATGAGTGTATATGGTTGAAGCAGCCAGATGAGCAGAGCAAAAGCCAGAAACCTAATACCTGAAATAGTATAAGAGCAAGTGAAACAGTGAAAACTAAAGACATTTTTGTCCACACAAATGACCCCCCCCCCCCCCCCCCCTCCAATAACAACCCATTATTATGTGATACTACTACTGAAGGAGAAATTAATTCTAAAATGGAGGATGAAAACGGATATATACCACTCTAACTTTGTGCCAGTCCTGAATACCTGTATCAGTCATGGGCAATGACAACAGCTGACAGAAGCCAGCTTCAGGCTCAGAAATGAGGTCTCTGAGAAATATGGTCCAACTGACAAGAAAGGACAAAGTCTGCAACCAGACAACACATCAACATCTTGATCTAGAAACCAATGCAATGTGAACTCAAGTGAATTTGTCAGTTATGATAGTTTGGATATGTAAACAGAACAGGAGAATCAGCCAATATGACAGGCCTGAAAGTCCAAAAGCAGGGAAGACGACCTCAAGGGCAACCCAGGATTTCCTGGGAAGACAACATACGACAGTCTCTGATAGAGGACTGGAATGGAACAAAGCCAAAAAGAAAACTGCTGTCAGAGAAGTCTGGCAATCTCTCTGGCAAACCTCTACACCCCAGAGTATAAATGGAGCGACTAAGTAAGTTAGTATTACTAATGAGACACCAAAGCAACATTTTAAAAAAAAACAACTATGAATATCAATAACACCACGTACTGAATTCTATATCTATCCGTGGTTCTGTTTTATCCGACCTCACATCAAATTTCATAACAGTCCCTTGGTTTGTTTCCAAGATTTCTGGTGTATGTAGTGTTGAGGCTGTATCTCTGTAACAAATAAACAGCATTTCATTCACAATCAATCACAACATAACATAACCTTTGACCCGTGGAGGTGTATCGATGGAAGCACTAGCACACAAAACCCACCATCTTTCTCTGTCTTTCATTTGATAATTAAATTAAGTATATGATAACTTAGTCGTGACATTTTTTTTTTTATGCTGTCATTCTAGTTCTTCTTTGTCCTCCTATTCTTCAACATTCACCCTCCACCTCCAATGTTCCTTGAAGTACAGTCTTTATAATGGAATCTTGTCTCACTATATGCCCAAACAAAGCTAGCTTGCCACGTTCCACAAATGTCAATTGAGGCTTCTGATGTCCTGCAAATCAGTATATTTTGTCTCTGACATATCTGTTAGTTCTGAATTCTAAATGATTAATTCATAAAAGGTTTCTATAGAATTTACATTTGAAAACCTGAATCCTCCTTTCCATTTTTTACAACTCTCACATCTGCATTAGAAAACAGAAAATACCAGAGACTTATAAATATTTACCTTAACTGCGATGCTGATTTTGCCCTTCATAACAGTACTTCTATCGTTTCTAACCACTGATAGTACTTGACAATGAGCAACTAGCCTCACAGGTAATCAGTAAGAAAATATAAATTATAGTCATCACAAAGAAGACAAAGAGAAGTACCATGGTATCAAATAAAATGCATGTAGCTTAAAGCAAGTGAATCCATAGATTGGGACAGGTTTCATTTCATCACTGAACAGGTTTCACTGAACATCTAGACAGATTTTAGTGGAACACTGGGACAGGTTTCATTACATCATAGAACAGGTTTCACTGAACATCTAGACAGGCTTTAGTGGAATACTGGGACAGGTTTTAGTGGAACACTGGGACAGGTTTCAGTGGAACACTGGGACAGGTTTTAGTGGAACACTGGGACAGGTTTTAGTGGAACACTGGGACAGGTTTTAGTGGAACACTGGGACAGGTTTTAGTGGAACACTGGGACAGGTTTTAGTGGAACACTGGGACAGGTTTTAGTGGAACACTAGGGCAGGTTTTAGTGGAACACTGGGACACGTTTTAGTGGAACACTGGGACAGGTTTTAGTGGAACACTGGGACAGGTTTTAGTGGAACACTGGGACAGGTTTTAGTGGAACACTGGGACAGGTTTTAGTGGAACACTGGGACAGGTTTTAGTGGAATACTGGGACAGGTTTTAGTGGAAGACTGGGACAGGTTTCATTTCATCATGGAACAGGTTTCACTGAACATCTAGACAGGTTTTAGTGGAATACTGGGACAGGTTTTAGTGGAACACTGGGACAGGTTTTAGTGGAACACTGGGACAGGTTTTAGTGGAACACTGGGACAGGTTTTAGTGGAATACTGGGACAGGTTTTAGTGGAACACTGGGACAGGTTTTAGTGGAATACTGGGACAGGTTTTAGTGGAACACTGGGACAGGTTTTAGTGGAACACTTGGACAGGTTTTAGTGGAACACTGGGACAGGTTTTAGTGGAACACTGGGACAGGTTTTAGTGGAACACTGGGACAGGTTTCATTTCATCACTGAACAGGTTTCACTGAACATCTAGACAGGTTTTAGTGGAACACTGGGACAGGTTTTAGTGGAACACTTGGACAGGTTTTAGTGGAACACTGGGACAGGTTTTAGTGGAACACTGGGACAGGTTTCATTTCATCACTGAACAGGTTTCACTGAACATCTAGACAGGTTTTAGTGGAACACTGGGACAGGTTTTAGTGGAACACTTGGAAAGGTTTCATTTGATAAGAAGAAGTTGCCATGCAGACCTTCAGACATGCATCTCTACTGCTAAGCTGCGACTCACGAGAAATAAAATGGAGCAAGTTGAAAGAGATGTGGTAGCTGCTGCTCGTGAGTTCCAGCCATCTAGTTTAGCCCCCCCACCCACTTAGCGCACTATGTAGCGGCGCGGGGGAAACTCTCGGCAGGGACTTTAACTCAGTGGAAGCTTTTCTACTGTATGCGGTGTAGTCGCCAGAAAGAGGTCCGCAATTTACATATGACTGAGGCCCTATTAGGGTATTTTCTTTGCCTTGATAATTTGGGACCGTTATTCGGAGGATAGCCAAAAATTATACATATATATATATATTGGGATAGTAGTCCCTGCTCGGGGCTGAGAATCTCTTAGTAGTCCTTGGTATGATAATAGGGGAACTGAAGAAGTGATTGATAGTTTCACAATGCAATGAAAATAGAAGGGATATGACCTTCTCCGCGATCACAGGCTGTAAGTAAACTCGAATGGCAAATTCTGGTTGGTCATCCAATTCTGGTCTTGTTCCAGAATTTAATTTTTCATCTTTACACTACAGATCTACTATCTACACTATGCTATGTTAAATGTATGCTTCTTTAATTCGAGTTATATCTTAAGTTTAAATATTCAAGCATGTGTTGAAGTAAGCACCGAAAAAAATTATTTCGATTATTTTTCATTATAGTATTTGAACTATTAGTTGTTTTTCATCGGTCTCAAACAATCAGACAGGTTTGCATCCTTGAGAACATTAGGCGAGGAGTGGGTCAAAGTGCCACCTGAGCAGTCAGACTTGTGTAGAGTCATAATCACGCTGAGCCGGGATTGCAGAGACTGGCCAGCAGGTGCCACAGAGGTGGAAATTTAGAAATTAATTCAAGATAATGCTCACTCAGAGGATTTGATCATTTACACAGACGGTTCAGTGTCAAGAGGCAAAAGAAGTGCTTAGGGCTTTTTAGCAAAGATTAATGGTCGACGTTTGGTACAGGAGAGCCTAGCATATGATACCACAACATCCAGCTCAAGAATGGAGGTGGAGGCGGTCACTGCAGCTTTCCGCTGGCTAGAGAACACGACTCACACACACACATTGTAATACTGATTCAGAAAGCATGCTTAGGAAGATCAGAACAGGTATGCTTCATGCAGAGTGGCATGCTTCGCTGCGGAGGACACGAGTGAGGAGTATTGTCTGGATTTTTTCACCGGGTGACGCCGGTGTGTTGGGAAATGAACAGGCGGACAGATTGGCTGGCTCTGCACAACTTGGTGGAATACTGTTACATGATAGGGCAGGCGTGGTTAGTGCCTTGTGGGAAAGCGTGTACAATGCGGAGGAGCAGATGGATCACCAGTTTGGTGAGATTGATGCAGTTGGGGGTGACGAGAGGTTCTGGCAGAAGCTCAAGGCTCAGAGGAAAGGCAAGACGGATGTTTAATCAGAAAGCTACTGGCACTAACTATTAGTATCGGAACTCTTCGCTGGCTGCTGAAGATGGGGACGGAGAGCTTATGCCGTGCTGTGATGTCGGTTCTTGAATCAAATCAAATCAAATCATCGGTCTCATTAACAAACATCCATCAATATTATTTTTATTATTCACAACAAATAAAATTATTAATTTATAATAACTATATATAAAAAAAACATTTAACATTTTTACTTTTTTTTAACTTATATAGTATTAGTCACTACTATGATTTTTAAACCTAATAAACAGCAAACATTTACTCAATCTTAAGTAGCGCTAAAAATGACCATACCTAACAGAGGCAACACTTTTTGTGTAAGGATCAAACGTAAATTTTATTTGTTTTACTGGTCGTAAATGCAATCTCTTGACAAAATATGTCGTTGCCCTTCGAACGGCGAACGCCATTTTGAGCAGATGTGTGAAACGTTTTTTACGGTCATGTGATCTCAACCAGGGCTGCCAATGGGATTTGTGTGTGTATGTGTGTGTGTGTGTGTGTGTGAAACACCCAGCTAAGCTGAACAAATACCCAAACAATACATTGGCAAAGGACAAAAAAAAAAAACAGATTGTTAAAGAGTACAAATTTTATAGTTACTAAACGAAACATTTACCCACTTTTATATATGAAATTTTTTTTAACCCAGATTTCAAAATTTGAACCCAAAGTGTCAAATAAAAACCCAGATCTGGGGGTAAAAACCCATCATTGGCAGCCCTAATCACAAAACCGTATTTTACCGGTGACTGGAAATCGAGTTTAACCCTAAGGCCCTTAGTGGGTTTCAGGGAATCATTCTGTTAAAAAAGGGGATGAGGCTGTATAGACACTTCTCCTTAACAAATGTGTCGCACAAAATGAATAATTAAGGATATTTCCTTCGAAGTCGCGGAGCATCTGACTGAAAGGCAAGGAACCAACTGTCTGCATACAAATAAACCAGAGTAGTGAAACGGATATTCACGTGAAACTGCCGAAGAAGATTTTAATTCTTCTTTCTCTGCTCTTTGAGTTATGAGTCATGGGTTGGATTATCTTCACAGCACTGCGGACACATCCAAAGGTACTCAGATGTCCCCTTCAGCATATTAATTAGAGTCGCGTGGTTAATAGTGCCAGTACTATGCTGGCTGACATGACTTCTTGTGCGTCGGGTGGGCCTTTCATGCTTGGCGGGCCGATTCATGGCTTCCTTAAACTGGCTAATTAAATCTTTAAACTTCATAATTTTCGTTTTCTTAACAGTGATGTGGACGCGTTGCTTAGTAAAATCTATGGAACGTCCTATCTCTCAAAGGGTATTGACAATGTTGGCGTGTTCCATAGCCCAGATATCTAAAACTAGTGTAGAATCTAATACTCTATCAGCTCTTTCATTGCCAACAACATCTGAATATCCTGGGACAAATATGAAAGTAACTGCACACAGAGTTTTTCAATGACGCAGTCATTGTGATTCCAGCCATGTGAAAGCTTGTGTTACCACCATCACCTCCATCGTCATGCTTCAGGTAGTCATAGACAAGGCACCATTAGATTCTTGGACTGTTCTGCCTGCAGAGAGAAAGCGAGAAAAAGAGAGAGAGAGAGAGAGAGAGAGAGAGAGAGAGAGAGAGAGAGAGAGCTGCCAATGCTTATGCACTCTTATGACCACGTATAACGGACCCGTCTGTGTAGATCAGCTCATCTATCTAATCTGAGTTGTCACTGTTAAGCCCGAAGACCTCGGCGTTGATAGCATCGGGATTCTACTCCTTACAACTCCTATCAAGCGTGACAACACAGGAAAGGTGATATTGGGCGCTTTAGGAACCTGGTATCTATTCCTCACCAGGGAGCATAAACCTGCTTGATATCATCCTCTGCCCTACCCATGATTTGCCCTTTTCAAGTCTGCTGTCCTTTTTCCCGAAGAGCATGTTGTGCAAAGTTCACATCGGATCCTATCTTCACGGATGTTCGAGCCCTCCAAATCTACATCCCGTAGTTCATGATAGGGAAGTCAAGAAGGTATCTCGTTGCCATACAGAGATTTTTCTTGTACACCCCAGAATAATGCGCATGGCCTCGTTGTGCACCTTCTCCAGTCTGTCAGTCTTAGTATGGCTGACAGTGAGGATGTATAGAGTATGGTTTAGGTTTAGACGACGGATCAACATCGTGGCACAAGTGTAGTAAACCATAAGGGCTCCTTAAAAATCTCAGTGCAGTGCACGAACTCCGTAGCACCGGCGAGGATCCTAAAATACTTTGGGTAGTCTTTAACTCCAAATGTTGCCCGGGCAGCACCGTAAGGTTACTGTTTTTCGATTTTAAACCTCCAAAGGATTTTTTAAACGTGCACAACAATACACACGGGCGTCTGGTCTTACTACACAAAGACCAGGAACAATTACTAGAATACTCAAGGCGGATGCCATGCCTCAATACCACGCAGTCCCCAAACAGAGGATATTCGACGGGAGAGTAAGTCGCTGGAACATAAGCAGAAGCAGTCTCTTCTCAATATTGGTGGTGGCCAGGGCCCTCATTACTGACAGGCCTTTGCGTGCCTTTGTTATAACATGGTCAATTTGTGTTTTGAAGAGCAGACTGGGATCATACTGTATTACGCAATGGAGCATGGGCCCACAACCAACTCACATCAAGTCGCCATATCCGTTGCTTTCGCCTGCAGCGCACCAAAAAGTTCTGTCTACTGCACGCTTTAGTTCTCTTCTGTGTGTGTTTTTGGTCCGCTTTTACACCTACTTCTTAGAATGCCAATATATTTATCAACTAGCACAAAATTCGTCCCTGCTGAGTTATGCACCACAAATAGAATTGGCAAAGTGACGTGTACTAGAACTTGCCCAGGTCCCTGAATATCGTCTAAGAAAATTTAAAAAACAGCACCGGCAGTTTTACGTGTGCGTCAGTAAACAGCTGACAAGGGGTAATTAGAGAGAAATTAAAACAGCCAACGATTTTTTTAGTACGAATTTCAGGCACTCTCTGGGAAACTAAAAAACAAGAAACTTATTAATAAACTAGAAAGCGAATTTATCCGAGGCATTTTCGCTTAGCTGTATAATTAGTTTATGTTTTTGTGGCAAAATGTGTTACTTGTTACTTATTGCTTATATGTCGACATTATATCCCAGCACAAGGGTCTGACCAATTCGTGCTCCGTCCATATTCAAACGAGAACTTTAAAGACTGAAGTGGAGAAGGGTTCCATATGAACAGCAGTTGAACATGGGTCAGTCGGTCCTAAGAGATAGGATAACTCCCTTATGACCTTGGTTTTTAAAAAAAATCGTGCCCCGTCCACCGATGCAGCAGCCACTTCATTGTCTTCATGCTTAACTTACCCAGTAGGAGATGACTGGCATCTCTTCTTTCTTTGGCCAGCAATCGGTTTCTGCATACTTATCATCGCTTACTAACCATTTCCAAGAGGCGGTTATGGTCTTTTCTACTTTGTCTCAAAGTCTCTAGAGCCATAGCACATTCAGTATCTCTTCCTTCACAAACTACTGAGGGCAAGCCAATCGGTCAGCTCTTTCGTTTTCTTTCACCCAGGTGTATCCGGGTGTCTACAGCCAAGATAGTTTATGGAGGCGGAATTACTTTCTGGATGTTGTCATTCCAGACTAGTCGGTGATTGCCAGTTTGGATCTTCTTAAGCATGCCTAATGAGTCTGCCCCATATCAAGAGTAAGTTGCTATCTGTCCCGAAAGCATGCAAATGCCCTTGTGGAGGCTGCAATCTCCATCGTCATGCTAGAAGTAATTGAAGGCAAAAAGATTGCAAAACTTTATTTTCGCCTTGACGTTCACCGGTTTGTAAACTCCGGCAGTAATTTTTCCTAGTTCATCCACTTCTTGTTCCAGAAACTAAGTTTTGAGTGCACATCCGCTTTACAGATCTGGCATAGTTTTATGTATACTAGAATCGACAAACCCTAAATACCAAGAAAAAAAAATAAAGAAATATAGTTCGTTAGGCGGGGACTAGAAACATAAATTGTCTAGTCCATACATGAGATCCTCTGTGTAAAATCTAATCAGCCAAGCAACAAATAAACTAGGCACACTAACCACAAGTCCTGATCTGAACCAAAAACAACTGGAACTATGATTACCACATTGAACATCTGTTTATTTCACTTAACATAAAATCCCAAATGGTTCACAAATAACAACATTAACAATAACCAACGTGCTCGACCAGAGGCAGAATCTAAAGTGCTAATTATCTCCAGCTAACAAGGAATTATGATAATGACACCATACCCTCAGCGAGATTACCTCAACAATGTCAAAAGCCGAAACATATTTAACATGTACGTTAAGCTTCAATATGGCACAAGAGAAACAAATCATTTATAGCGACCTGCAATCAAACTATGTCACTAGACAAACAAATCATTTATAGCGACCTGCCATAAAACTATCTCCTAGCCAGGATGCACAATGGAAATCAAATCTAACACCACTTAAGTAAATGAAACGTACCGTGAAACCAGCCAGACAACGGCCTACCTCTGCAGTCGCCCGTACCCATGCTGTCTAGCTCACTGTGCAGAGCCGCACAGCTGGGTCGGTGTCCTGTAGGGTCGGTCCGGAAGCCAAATAGACTGCTGAAAATCAAGCAAATTCTTTCATTAACTGATGGCTTAACCTTTAGCACGACAACAGGTTTCTTCGTGTTACCGTCTAAAACTAATAGCTGTTCTAATAGCCTCTTTGGCCTGACACATATGCAGCTGGTTGGTTCTTCGCCTTTCAGGCAGTGTCATGAAGTGAACAGCCAACCCTACGGGCACGTCACATTTCAAATTTAAACCCGCTTGGGGGGGGGGGGGGGGTGTATATAATCCCTTATATTGATATATACCTCTATCTGGTAGAATAAACATTTCTATACCCTCTAGTTGTTTTAAGAAGTCAAACTTGCAACTGTGGGATAGATATTTCGGGAATATTATTCAGAAATTCCTGTAAGCCTTTTTACTCCTCGGGCACGAATACAAGGTCTTCTTTTTTAGAGACGCCAACCTTAGTCGGGGGCGGGTATTCTTTTGCCAGACCGCTAAGGTGTCGGGAAACTTTTGCAGTCGCTCATTAAATTTGGGGCTATCAAAGTACCAGTTTAAGCTTTAAAGGATTCCTAAGCTTGGGTAAGTTGGTTATAGTTTACGAGTACCATGATATATGTCTATTTAAAGTTGGCTACTGCTGCAGGGAGGGAAGATTCAGCTGTGTGATCGCACCGAACTGGGCCGTTCTTGATATCCAGACACTCCAGGCCTTAAATCAAACCTTTCCCTTCACAGGCTAACTAGTTTGTGCCATACATGACACACATCATTGTAAAGATATTAAACCCAACAAGTTAATTATTCTCTAACCAGACAAC